CCTCCTTAATAAACAAACTGGGAGATGTCACAGTCCCATATTCTCCTTCTACAAACTTAGTCAGCTAAGTATTAAGGAATGGGGCCCTAATAAAAGCCAACCACTGTGTACATAGTGGAGGCAAATCACATGATCACAAAATATCATATAAACTAGTATCATAGTCTTCTCATCCTAATCACTGATACGTGTCATACATATGCAGTAATACTAGTACAAGCATGCTTAAAAGAATTTAGAGTATCACGTGAATTGTTAAGAATGAATTACAAGCATGCCTGAAAGAAATAAACTACTTATGATTTCATTTCACATATATACACATATACAACATGCTCAACTTGATTTAAATAACAATGATGAATAATACATTGATATTCATTTCTCTTACCATTTGTAGTCTCAATAAGTTGTAGGCCAAATAGAATTTTATATACTCATACCTATATAGTCAATTAAACAAACAATTTGCATACACATGAAAAATCCCAAGTTACCTATCCTCCTTCAATTTACAAGCTAAGTGATCAAATTAGCGAATCCAAGCAGTTAGATCTCTTAGTGAGAGTCTACAAAAATCACACATATATGAAAACATTAATTTATAATTTGAAACTACTGAATTTATGTTACATACTAAAAAAATTTTAAAAAAAATTTGTAATTAAAACAAATATATATGGAAATAAAAAAATATTTTATTGTTATTAAATTAAGTTAAGAAAAAAAAAACCAACTTTTCCCCTGAATTCGGCGGGAAAGCTTAGGTCATTTAATGAAGAATGAAGAAAAATTGGAGAGGGGTAGTTAGAAGATGGAGGGAGATAGAATAAAAGAGAGAGTGGGAGATAGAAAATGAGAGTGAGAGGTAGAGAGAAAAATCAAGAGAGTGAGTGAGAATTTTTACAAAGTACATACTGTCTGAAAGATAAGACAAGATTTAGGAATCATTTTTATCAAATTTTCTTCATACATATTTCCCATATATTTAGAATTTTATATTGATAGTATTATTATAATGTTTAGAAAAAATTTTGTGATTTGAGTATGGACTAAGTAGTGAGTTTTGACAATATATGACAGTCGAAATTTAAAGATACATTATTAATGCATTTTAATCAATTTATATTTGTTCTTTGATTATTTTGAGAATTTTAAATTAAGATTTTAGTTGAAAAATTTATTATTCAAGACATATAGAATGTTTTTCCCAATTAAATTGAAGTTAAATAACTGATTTGGGTTATTTAATATATTATTGAGGTTTCTATCAGTTTGAATGTTAAATATGTTAAAGATATATTGTTGAAATAATTTTTTTTAAGCTTGAAAATTAAATTATAAATTATAAATTTTCTGAAAATAAATAAAGTTAAAGTTTATTTATAATTTAAAGGAGTTGTTTGGGTTCAAGATAAATTTTAAATGAGGCTAAAATAAATAATTGAAATTTTAATGTGAAATATTTTGACTTTGGGTAATAGATATATATACTAAAGTTATTAAATTTAAATATTGTCTTGTATGAAAAATTTTATTCCCAAATAATATTATATCTACTATAAATAGCTAGATTTGTGAGAGTTAATATATTTTTGTAATTTTAGTTTATAGGGTAGTCTTAGAATTTTAGAGCATTTTATAATAGTTTTGAGTTTTATATTAATAAATATTTGTGTGCAATTTTATAGACTTTTGTTGAGAATTTTGGAGTATTTTGATTATTTGTAAGCTAAAAAGTAATAGGCAACTCTGAAAATTCTTTCATGTACATGTGAATTATGTATGACTATATTATGGATTTCCTAGTTTTTATTATATCATATTGAAATGATTGTTTATATCATGGGTTTTCAAATAAATGTTCTAATAGATTAGTTTATTTTTGTAAAGATTTATTACTATTAATTATGATCAATGTTTAAATATATTAATAGTTTTTTAATTATGATGAGTTGCTATTAAATTGTTAAGACTCTTGTTAAGATGAGAAAATCTCATTTCAAACTCTCTGATGCTTTCTCCTTCATTCATCCTTATTAGCTCATATTCTGGTGTGAGCGTGTTGACGTTGGCTTTGCTTCCCTCCAGTGGTTCCTTCATAAGCCACTTCTAAAGCATCCCAAACTTTTTTCGCTTTTTGAAGATTTGACACTCTGAAGTACTCTTTTGAATCAAACACATTGGTAAGTATATGGAGTGCTTTGTTGTTAAACTGTACCATCTTTAGATCAGCTTCGGTATACTCATTTAGCTACTTTGAGACTCTAGGTCCTTCCATTATTTTCATTGGAACATAATTACCATTTTAGACCACATTCCATATTTCTAGTCTAGCTGCTCTAATGAAGTTTTTGATCTTCATTTTTCACAATGAGTAATTTTCTCCATTAAAACTAGGAGGTTTAGTGATGGAACCTATTTCAGGTAAAACACATTCTCCATAACTAGCCATATGGTCTTTTCACTTGAAACGACTAGATTCCTGTAGATAAAGTAACTTACTCTAATACCAAATGTTAGTATGACTGAATGCCTAAGAGGGGGTGAATTAGGTATTAAGCAAATTATGAACAATAAAACAATAAAACACAATTAACATAAATAAAGCAGAATAGAAATGATATTACCTATCGCTTGAAGGAAGAGCAGGAGAAAATACACAATGAATTTATACTGTTTCGGTTCAACCTGACCTATATCTAGTCCTCATGCTTTACGTGAGAATTTCACTATATTTCTAAGATTCAATAAGCTCCTAGTGCCATAGTATAATACTCACCTCTATGCCAAAAGCAACACCTAAGGCAAAAGATTAACTTGGATAAATAACAAGGCTTTTTTGACTTGGTTAGTATTTTGAACTTATGTGAGTCAAATACTCAGTATTAGTGAAAACATTTAAAAACTTATGAACTAATTAAACAACTCTTTGAAAAATGTTTAATGGTAATAACTTTTTGAAAACATTCCATTCATCACTTAGATTAATTAAGTTTCCTACAAAAACAAATTCTTCTCTAATTTTGTTATCATCAAAAGATTGGATTTAACATGTATATACAAAAATAGATAAAATTCATAATAAACATATGGGGGAAGAGTTAGCAACCTGACGTCTATTGAAGAGAAGATGTTGAAGTGGTTTGGACATATATGAAAAGAAGGTCATTGGAAGCATTGGCGAAGAGATATATATCAGACAGTATAGAAAGCCATTTGAAAAAAAAACAAAAAAGATAAAAATTGAAAACAACACTCAATAAAATTATGAGAGAATCCTAATTAAATCCAACTGAAATATTAAAATCCAAATTTAGGCCTACGCATTTAACAAATTTGGCCTAATTAAGAAAATTTTAATGTTGTTAAAAGACTAGAATACCTTTTTATAGTTAAAAAATATTGAAAGCCGATGTGGACTTGATTTTGATTTTTATTATTTTAATTCAAATTAATTGAGATTTAATTGTAAATTTTTATAGATATAGATAAGTCATTTTTGGGCAAATTGGCGTCTGCCCCAGTCAATTTATTTTTCCATCCATCCAATCAAAAGAAGGGAAATTTATTTAGTATACTAATAAATTCATATTAATTACTAGTATGCGTTTCTTTTCGTAATTAGATTATAAGTGTTGGAAAAAATAATGAGATTATAAGATATAGCATTATGGAAACGTAGCAAATCACCTAAGAAATAAATGACAAATTTGATGCCAAAATCTACTGAATTTTTTTTTAAAAAAATTAATGTCCTATTTTTTTAACTAAAAGAAACAAATTGTCGTTCAAAACATTATTAATTGAGTAGTCTTTGAATCAAGTAAAAGGTCTTCGTTCCCATAAATTTGTCGTCAATATATTAGAGTCAGAAGAGAATACATACTTGCGTGTACAAATATAGAGACGCAAATGTAAAGATAATTAACGCTTAGTAAATTTGAAAATAAGCAACTAGAGAAAATGCATATTTGTCGGAGCAGATCCTATGACGAAGAATTAAAATTAAAATAGAACTTGAAATAATAATGTAAAATGCCGCAGAATTCTGAAACTTTTCTACCTCACAAATCTGATTCAAGAACGTGCAGGACAAAACTATCTTTACAAATAAAACTTTTTATAAAAGAGTTAAGGTGAAAATTTACTCATGAAGTTTTTTTGCCAGAGGCACCAAGCCCCATGAACTCTTTTACATAAAATTTTTAAATGGTGCAAAATACCATGGCCTTTAAGTCAATTAATGTTGACTATTTAATAAACATGTCAATCAAGAAAATGGTGCAAAAATATATCTTAACTTTTGAAAATGGTTAAAAAACACACATGAAGCTTCTAATGAACATAGTAACTTTGCACCATTTTAAGAACTTGATATGCATTTTTGCACATTTTCTTGACCTATATGTTTGCTAAAAAGTCAATGTTAGTTGACTTAACGAGCATGATATTTTTGCATTATTTTAGAAACTTCTTGTATACTTATGCACTCAAAAAAAGTTTATGATGTTAGGTGCCCGTTATGAAATACTTCATGAGTAAATTTGCCCTTTAACCCTTTTATAGATAAATATTATATAATGCCAGGTTCTCATGGTTTATTTTATAAAAAATATTATCTTTTTAATTATGAAGGGACATTTTCGTTTTCTTAACAATATTCATAAATCTCTAATTAGGCATCTTGACCTGATTAAAAGTTTCTTAAAAGTGTAGGCCTTAATTTGAATTTTGGCATTTCAACTAAATTTAGTTAGAATTTTCCCTAAAATATAAACATATCTTTTCATTAACAATATAATCAAATATTTAACTCTCCATAGAATACAATGATACGAGGTGACCCATATAGCTGACCATTTAATGGGATATACTTCCAGTTTTATAAGTGATTTCCATTCTTACAGATTTTCTATTAATTTGTAAAATTTTTGTTGATCGTTATCTCAGCAGGTCCTGCACTTGTAGAGCTTTTGGGGGATTTGTGACGCGAGCAACACACCATCCAACAATCAAGAATACATCCGTGCATTATCAAAGGCATGGCCAAGTAAACAAACATACTATACTAAACCTGTTGCATTATCAAAGATAAACCACTAAACCTGTTGCAAAAGTAAACTGAATACAACAACACTAAAAGATACAAAGAAGAAAAAATCAGCACTAATTTTCCCTCCCTCACTGCATGTAACATTGCTTCCGCTGTAACATCCTATCCTTTGCTTGATCCCTGCACCGCGATTTTCAAGCTCAAATGTGGAATTTGTGAGGCCATCACTGAACAAAATGCACCAAAAGAATGATCCTTTATGGACTCCAACCATGCCTGCTCCAACCTCAGTATGTGATTTATTCCTCAGCAGAGACAAAGATTTGTTGTTTTTAAAAAGAATGTTGGAGAAAGCTAATGGTGGCTCTACATACTTCCTTTGACAGCCTACTATTTGCCCGGTAATGGTGCCGAAAGTGGGGAGCTCTACGCCGCAATTGGGAGCGAATACTTCAGTGAAATCATCTTCTGATGGCTTGCAGTTCACCAAATTGTTCTCTGTGCAGTTCCATTTGCATAGCTCCACATACTGTAAGGCCATGCACCCAAGACCGGGACTGTCATTTAGCCGTGGGAGCTTGTGAGCTGTTCGGTTCTCGTTGATGATGGTGACAAGATCATTTGCTGGGTTTCCTACATGACAGAGATCATAACAAGTTAACGAGGTTGCTTCGATTGTCACGTATGGCATGAATCACACTTGAGACTTGAGAGAAAATTTGGTTTCTCGGAATCTTTCATTCCTTGGAATGTCATTCCAAAAAAATATGAAATTTTCAAGGTTTGTCTATAACAAATATTCTTGAGACTATTTTGCTACATTCTTGGAAATCGAACATTCTTGTGTTTGGCTCATTCAACATTCCATGTAGCCGAAGGCTTGTTGTATAGCTTATCAAAGACATATTACTAGCACAATGTAAGATCTAAAAGCAGTTACCCCAACTCTAAAAGCAGTGTTTATCAAGTTTCATTTCCATATTTGTTATATCTCCAGAAGCACATTCAAATACTTAATTTTCTTATTATTAGAGAATAGCCAATCCTCTAATTTCAAAATAATACCAAGCGCAAGCCTTAAATTCAGACAATTAGAAAATGACATTAATCAAACCCGGGAGCCATCAAGCACGTCCAATCAATTGTTGACATCTGTTTTTCTCAGAACCAGATTCATCAAACAGTAATTTTCTTCTAAAACAAGCGTTGGAACCATTTTTTACGCAAGTATGACTTCTGCTATTCATTTCCACAATTCCAAGATGCGATAACAATTATCTTTAATGGTACATAAAAGATTTCAACTCAGTTCTAGAGTACAGGGTTTATTTTTTGTGGTTGATAAGAGTAACCCTCCTCTGTTCAACAACCATGCCTTTGGCTTGTCTGTTCTTCGAAAGGAAAAAGCAAGTCAAACGTCCCCTTATGAGGTTGCTTAGACCTAAACATTTTCTCTAATCACATTTCCAATGAAGTTCATTGCTCTGGGAAGCAAATAATTTGTTTAAACTAATTTTCTAAAGGATTCTCAGTCAGGCTTAATTATTTTTAGCAAAGCTTGAATGATTGAAAATATTTCAAATTATGTTACAAAATTTTTTTTGAATTAATTTAAAAGACAAACCCAGACAAGTGCCTCCTTATGAGGTTGCTTATCCCTAAAATCCTTTCTGTAATCACAATTTCAATCAAATTCATTGTTCAGAAAAGCAAATAATTTGTTTAAATTAATTTTTTAAAGAACTATCTGTTTTCAGCAAAGCTTGTTATAATTGAAACTATTTTGCTTCATGTTGGAAGAATGTTCCATTTACTAAAATTATGGTCACAACTTCCAGTTGATTTGATGCACGTACTTGTTATTCTTTTCAATGCACCAATTACACTGAACAACTCACTTTTGCTGAGCTTTTTGCGAAGAGAAGACAAATCTTCTCCGTAACTTCTCACAGAAAGATGAGGCAGGAAACCCAGAGACTTTATTGTTAGGATCAGGGAGAGAATCAGAGACAAGCGATATTTACTATAGCTTATTTCTTTATTCGTCTTTAAGAGAAAATATATAAATAGGTTTGGCACTATCTCCTGGCAAAAAATCTTAAAACTTCAGAACTAATGAACTATTGGTCTTTCCCATATATATTTTTCTAGTTCAATCCTATCCAATGTCAGAATTTTTCTCACACTTCACTCACCTTTACCAAAATATGCACGCCTTGTTCACCCTCTAACAAATCGAATCACTATGTCTTGCATCATCAAGAGAAGATGACTCCTGAAAATAAGGTTTGTTGGGCCAACTGCTTCCGTTTGTTTACCATGCAATGTTACAAACTAATTGAGGAAGCCCATCCCATAACCTTCCTCTCTAAAGTTTGGAAACATAGAAGGAACCAGCATATCATCGAAGATTCAAATGCTAGTTTTGGTGAAATTTTGTTAAAGTGAACAATCTTTTTATGCAAAGCAAAAATACAGCTGTTTTTCTCCAAATGCTTCAGCATGTCATTAATTGGTCAAATGCAACAAATACAGCTTAGTCAAGGAAACCAAATTTTGTACTCAATGAGCGCATTAGTTTACAAAGACAATGGTGACAGACTACAGGAAAAATAGCTGGAAATATGCTGCAAATCCTACCAAACGTTATATACAATGATTTAGAAGTCCAAGATGCAAAAGCATTCCTTATGAATCATAGGGAAGACAAAGAAAAATCATATTTATTTGAAAAGCACACAGATATAGCTTCCTGACCTCATGAACTAACTAACTTGGCTGAAAGGCATTGAATTTCTTCATCTGTTACATTTGGCAAGCATTGAAAATAAATTTGTTAATTATCAGAAATAGAACACCATTTTTTCTAAGGGTCCCCTGGATTAACATGTTAGAGGAACTTTGAGAGAACTAATGGCTAAGAGTCCCAAAAGTACAATGTTTGTTGAGTGTCAAGAGTACTTCATATGCTATCCCTAAAAGTAGCTTCAAAGCAGAATATGAAAGCTGTTGATGGGACGAGACGGGACCGGGATGAACAGGGATAGGACAGGAAATCTGTCTTGTGTCCCATCCCGTACCAGTGTTGTCTCGGCCCTGGTCAAGATAGGATGGGATCAGGACGTCCCTTTTTTCTTTTTCTTTTTTTGCCTTATGGTTAGGCCTATTGCAGTGGATTTTGATTTTTTGGGCTTAGCCTTTTTGAAAGTATTTTTTTGTTTTCTTTTTTATTTCTTTGGGCTTAGCCCTCTTAAACAAAAGCCCAAATAAATAATAATTAGTAATATAATAACTCCAAAATTCATTTTCACCATTCCAAAAATCATAATGAACTATAAAAGTTCTAAATAAATAATAACCACTCAACTATATATTTTCTGAAAACTACAAATATAAACATTTTGTATTACACATGGTTTAAACATTTTGTATTTTTAACATTTAATGATTATAATATGATAAAAAAATAAAATAATATTACTATCAGAACGGGACCGGGACCGGACGACCCTGTTCCGGTCCCATTTTTTGTCCCGTCTCGAAAAATTTTGAGACGGACCTAGTATGGTCGGGACCGAGACGGGCCTATTTTGAACACCCTTAATATGTAGCCTTGTGTGTCAAAGTAGATATGGTGTTGTCATTAAGCAAGCAATGGAAATGGATTATAAGGTTATGCTTTCTAAAATCAAAATTGCAAGCCTTTGGTATCGGGTTAATAACATGCACTTGACAAAAAGCAGCAAGAGAGTGGATCTTTGGTTATCCATGTAAATATCATTATATATGAAGAAGCTAAAACAAGGAGGAATGGTCAAATGCAGAATGCCCCAAGTTAAAGATATGGTTAAAACATCCAGATGCCAAAGGTCATCTTCCGAGTAGTCCAAGGCTTTAATTTGTCAAAGATGGTATTCCTATTAACAGTTGATTTAACTAATTTGGAAACAGCAAAACCTTGTTGGAGGCTTTGCAGCTATTCTATTATACCCATTACTTTGAAACCTAAAGGTGAAGCCTTTGCAAGAAAGTAGCATATAAACAAGTTCCTTTGAACAATACAATAAGTGCAGATGAAAATGCTGCTACATTGTCAACTGATTATATATCTAACTCCAATTATTGAGAAGAGCAACAGGAACAGGAAACATACTAAAATTTCCAAGCTTCAACAACAGGAATAAATCAAACTAACGGTCCTAAGTGATAGTTAATTTTGCAACCATCCTTTAAATATTATGAGGGGACAACGGATGCAACTTTCTAGAAAGAGCAAGTCTCAAGAATGGAATATATACTCATCATTCAAAAAAAAACACATGCCACCCTCTTATTAGAATCTGAAAAGCTATCCCTTAATTCTAAGGCCACAACAGCCACAATGTGCAAATGCAGCTTAATAACAGCATTTTAGCGTTCTTTAACGCACACATTTTGCGCTAACTATTTTAACTACTAAATCAATTTGACACGAAAATTCACGAATTTCAGCCAGCATTACATAGATACCAGATAAATGTAAAATGCGCCCCCGCGCGCTCGGCTAGAGTAATTCAAATATACTATCAGAACAACCTAGTAGAACCTCCCATTAAGAAGAACACAAACATAGACAAATTAAGGGTTTTTATGTAACAAGCGACAGGGACAGCTCAAGATATCAAAAGATTGATGGAAAAGAAAAGACAATGGAGGTACCATGATGCTTGGAGTAAACAAGAGCAGCCCACAACAGAAAACAGAAAATGTAAAGCTCATAGCAGCATAGTTTCTTCATCGTCATCATTTCCACAGGTCACGAAATGGGGACTTGAGCTTTGAAGATCTACCAGGAAAATGAGACAAAAGGCAAAAGAAATGGGAAGGCGAAAGGAAAGGGGCAACCTAGTTTGTGAGAGAGAGGTACTCAAACCAACGCGATAAGAAAGAAGGGGGAAATGGAAAGAAACAAGATCGAATATTGATGAAAAGGGGCTAAAGGAAAGGTGGAAAGTGCTTGATTGGAGATGGTGCTGCAAAAAGCAGGGACAAAAGTTCCATGATCGTGGTCCCCAGTAGCCGCTATGTCCTGATGAAAAACATAATAGACTGCTAATTTCAAAAATAAAATATGGCATGTTGGACCCAAAAACAAATTTCAAAATCACCAATTCAGTGGTCCCATCGTCACGGAATATGCTCCAAGACACAAGTTTAGGTTTACTTAAGGTGTTTAAATGAAAACCAAATCAAATTTTAAAAATGATTTTACGTTATGCGAAATAAATGTATGAAAGAATTTGTTTCAATTTATGAAAAAATACTTTTTAAAAATAGTTTTGAATGATCCAAACACCTTTTTAGTGGCAAAATAAATGAAAGCCAGGTTGTAGTGTCAAGTTAACTTGCAGTGCCCAAGAGGCTTGATTGATCAACTTACCAAAGCATAATGCTATACTGTTTTTTTTTTGTTGCTAAAGTATAGGTATTCTTCTATTGGAGGCAATCCTATTCGAGACATTGTCGGGTACTAAATGTGGACACCTATCCCAGTGGGGATTCGAACCTTGGTTTGCCACATTGTAAGGAACTAGCCTCTTTTGCTAGATCCAACCGCCATTGGTGAATGCTATACTATTAGCAGCCTTTTAATGATGTGAATATGTGAGCTTCTGGACTTCATATGGGACATGAGGACCAAGCATATAAGAAGGGATATCAATCGAGTTGCTGGCTCTCTAGCAGATGCCGCTATGGTGAAGAGACAATTATCTCGCTTGGAAACATATCTGGGCGGCATTAAATATACGACGGGGTTACCAGATATTGTAACAAATGAATCTCTACTTCTTTAACAATTGATGTGTGCCCTACCGATATAAGGGATCTTGTGCAGAAAGAGTACTTGGAATCTAATCTCCTTTTATTTAGTTTTTATTTGGGCTTCGCCCTTTTTTGTATTAAAAAAAAAGGTTTACTCTTCTAAAATAAATAAGGGAAAATGACAAATGAAGAAGGCTAAAATTAGGATATCTCAATTTAGAAAGCTAAGGGTCGGAAATGACAGAGAATGAAGTTATTCCCAAATTGAAATTTTGAAATTAATGAGAAATTAAAAAAAATGCCCCTTTGTTTTGGTTTTTTTTTAAATGGTTTGACCCCTTACCTGCAGTAGGCCACTGCTAGCCACTGTTATGGTGGCTGTTGGTCTAAATTTTTTTGTGACAGTTTTTTTTTGGTCATGTGAGAAATCTTCTACTTATAGTATGAAATCTCGTGATGCCCGAATGAGGGAAAATAGGTTCTGGGGGTTTACGGGTTAGTGTTTAGTGGTCCAGTAACACGTTATTGGGCTGCCCAGTGATCCAAATCCAAGCAACTCTTCCACCTCCCCCTCCTAGCGATTTCCTTAGTCTCCTTAAACCAAATCTGAAGCCTAACAATCGTCAGATATTGTCAAGTTTCAACCATTGTCAGCCACCATCTTGACACGATAAGTCATGAGATATGGGAAGGGATTTTGAATTCGAAGTCCAAGCCAGATGAAGAAGGGAAGTCACAGTTCTTCTTAGTTCTTAGAGATCGCAAGGGTGTCATTGCCGGCCGTGAAGCTTTCTCGACAATGTGTGAAGATTGAATTGTGAGAAGGCGGAAGGGGCAAAATGGGCTCCATGTGATAAAACTTTATCGTTTTACTTAATCTTATGATGCCCATATCATTTTATCATTTTATCATTTCTCACTGTAAACCTATGACTTCTATTGTTCTTGCAATCCATCAATGAAGGATGCCATGAAAAGACTTCCTCTAGGAGTGGAACAAACTGTTTCTCTATTCATCCCAGATCCTTGAATTCAACCACATCATTATCCTCAACCAACTTTGGTTCACACGGTTTATCAATTTTCTTACCTTTTGTGATCTTTTCTCTGAGTATTTAGGTGTGCTCTTGCTTTGTCTATCTATTTAGATATAATTTCCACATATTAT